ACCAGGAGCTGCTCAGCACGTCCTGGTGCATTAGGACAGACAGAGTCTATTACTGATACGGCACAAAACTGATGCCTTTAGCAAGTAGGGGTGTGGGACGGAGTGGTCTCAGGGGAAGTTCAGATTGCAGACTGAGAATCCCCCCCAGGGAGAGTCAGGAGACTCGGGGCAGGGTACGGAGAGGAGGGCAGGAAGCCTGGCGAGTGGATTCCTTGGAGCCAAATTGACCTAGAGGCACAGGCTTGGCAATCACTTCATTCCCCACAGGGGAGAAGGGATTGTTGCACGGGGACGCAAGATAACGTGGGATGAGTGGTGGACGATGAGGAGAGAGTCATCCAGGAAACGTTCCTGAAGGAGGCAGGGCTCAGGCTCTAGCTGGGGAGGGTTGGGGCAGCCAGAGGGACATGAGGATGCTGGAGTGGGGGCACCGGGTTTGGATACTGTCTCTGCCACCTGGGCTGGAGATCCGAGGCAAGGCTCTTGCCCTTTCTGAGGCTCAGTGCAGTGCCTGCCTCACTGGGTTGTGGAGAGGATTAAGCGAGGCTATGAACATGCTGTGTGAACTGAAGTTTGGGGGACATGAGTAATTGGTCACAGGTGAAGCTGGAGAGAGAGCGAGAGGGACTGCTGAGGGCCAAGGTATTTGTTTGATGGTGGAGGAGGCTGGGGTGGGAACCCCACACAGCATGAGCAGAGGCACAGGGTTCCAAAATTCGAAGCGTGGACTGAGGTGTCAGAGTGGCTCACTGTGGCTGACTGGACAGGGTGGGTGAGGGGCGGTGTGGGAAACGTGGCTGGGGCAGATGGTGAGAGGCCTCGAATGCCGGGCTCAGGGGTTTTAACTGTAGGGAGGGTCCCACACAGGGGAGGGGTTAGAAGGGTCCTTGTGGAGCTGGTGGACTGGTGAGGCGGCATGTCGGGGATGCCTAGGCAGCTTGGGAGGTCGGGACACAGGATTCCGGAAGCCTGAGGAGGGGGCTGCCTGCAAAGGCAAGGGGAAGAGTCCCAGGAGAGGAAAACACAGGAGCCTCTGCACCCAGAGCCCGCAAGTCCAGGGGCTGGTCAGGGAGCTGCGAGACACCGCGTGCCGTTGGAGCACAGGAGCGAGAGGTGAGGTGAAGGGGCCCCCTCATGAAGGGCCTCAAATCCCGGGCGGAAGAACCTGGGGACTTGGTCCTGAGGGTGATGGGGCCCACAACAGGGTTTTGAATGGTGCAGAGTCTGTGAGAAGAGTCTCTGCCGGGCCAGTGTTTGAGGGAAGCTGGAGACCAGGCTATGAGAGAAGGCTGGTCCAGGGGTCCAGGTGGAGAGGAAGGAGCCAGGGTTGGGGCTTGGGGAAGGGAGGGGAGCATACGGCTCTGAGAACGTTTCTAGATGAGGGAGGGACAGAGCTTGGTCCCTGTCTGGCTTTGCTGAGTGAGGAGGGGGGGGATGAGGATATTGGAGGTCCTGGACTTGTGTGGGTGTGGGCTTCATCGTGATCACGCCCCAGGAGAGAAGCTGGTTTTTTGGGGGTGGGTGTGGGGAGGAGATAATGCTTCATTTTTGGACAGGGTGATTGAATTAATGAATTCATTCAACCAATATTGAATTGAGCCCCTACCCTCTCCCGAGACCTTGCTAGATTCTGAGGATAGAATGTTGACCAGAACAGAGCTGCCTGCTCATGGAGAGTGAGTAACGCAGACAGTAAAATAGCGAATCAGTAAATAAGCAAGACCATCATGGGATGCGAAGGAAATAAACAGACTGAGGAGGCAGAGCAGGGCACCACCAACTTGATCTCTAACATAAACAGCAAAGCTTCAGTGATAAAGTGTTATTTGAGCTGAGACCTGAATGGCCAGAAAGGATCTGTCCCTGTGAGGGGCTGCAAGGAACATTCCAGAGAGGGGAACAGCAAGCACAAAGGCCCTGGAGATGGGAGAGGTTGGCAGGGCAGCCCTGTGGTGATGGGGGCCAGGGAGGCAGGGCAGCCGGGGCCGGTCCACACAGGCTGCAGGGCTTCTGGGTTTTATTCTAGGTGCAGCGAGGAGTGTTTTAAGTTAGGGAATGACACGATTCTGTGGGCTGAAAAAATAGTTTGCTGCAATATTGGCATAGAGAAAAGGCACCGGAGGAGGCAGAGGGGTGGGGGGAGGCTGTCTGTAAGCCGCAGGCCATCCGTGGTTTGCAGTGGGGTGGTGGTGGCGGTGGGTTGGGGAGGTGTGAGGTGTTTGCAGACCATGGTCACCAGCTGTGGCTCAGGGGTCAGGCAGAAGGAAGTGCCGTCTTGGCTCTCCCACCTGTGGATGTGTGACCCCCAGCCAGTCACATGATCTCCCCCAGCTTCAGTTTCCTCATCTATAAAATAGGGCTCCTCATGGCCTCCACCTTGGAGGTCTGCTCTGAGGACGCGGTGCAGTTAGCAATTGCTGGCGCCATAGTAAGGGCTCCATAAATGTTGGTCATTGTGGTCATTATTTCCAGGGATGTGCATGGGGTGGGGTGGGTGGGGCCATCATGGATGCAGCCAGTGACTATCTAGGTCTGAAACTCAAAAAAGGGATCTGGGGGCGAGACTCATATTGGGTAGTTGTCTGTGCAGACCAGATCAATGTTGCCCACTGAGGGAGACATCTGGCAATGTCTGTTGTCACAACGGGGAGAAAGGATGAGGGAGGGGGCTACTGGCATCTGGAGGGTAGAGGCCAGTGATGCTGCTCATCATCCTACAATGCACAAGACGGCCCCCCACAACAAAAAATGATCTGGCCCCCAAATGTCAGTAGTGCCCAAGTTGAGAAAACGTGGTGTAGACAGAAGGGGTAGTGGCCCCTTTAAACCAGGCACATCCTCTCAGTTCCCCAGTCTCTACTCTCCCTACTGCCCCCCCCCATGAAATTACAAGAGGAAGAACCTCTAGGACAACGCTGTCCAGTAGAAATAGAACCTAAGCCATGCTAAAAAAAGTGAAAAGTAACAGGTGAAATTAATTGTAATAACACACTTTACTTAACCCAGTATATCCAGTGTTATCATTTCAAAATGTAATCAACATAAAAATCATTCATGAAATAGTTTACACTTTTTTGTACTGTCTTCAGAATGCGTTGGGTGTCTTGCATTTATGGCACATCTTAATTCAGACCAGACACATATCAAGGGCTCAAGAGCCACATGTGGCCAGTGGCTGCCTTTTTGGACAGCACAATTCTAGAGGATCTTCAATTTTAGCATAATATCACAATTGTTGGGTCACTTGGGGGTTTCTTGAAGGTTTTCTGAAGAATACTTACTCATTTCCAGCTTATTCTTGCCACATCTAGAGATTTTTTCCCAAGTGTGCTGAGGAACTTGAATTTGTATGTGCATTTTCTGGCTTTTAAAACATAGCCCAGTAAAACATTAAAAAATATTTTGTGGTCCAAACCTAATTAATCGTGAGCCCTTTCTGACCCTCCAGTTTCCAGCTGGTTGAGGGTGCATTAGGAGCCGTCCCGTGTGGGAGGTAGCCAGTAGCTACGTGTGGCTATTTAGACTTAAATTTAGGGAAATTAAATAACATTTAAAATTCAGGTTCTCAGCTGCGAGAGCCACATTTCAAGTGCGCGAGAACCCCAGGTGGCTAGTGGCTGTCCCATTGGACAGCGCGCAGATCACAGAACATCTCCATCATTGTAGAAAGTTCTTTTCGACAGCTCCCTGGGACGCAGCTCTGGCCAGCCCGGGATCCTGGGGCTGCGCGCGACCATAACGGCCCTCCTCTCCCCTCTGCGCTCCCAGACCACCCTCCCCCAGACGTCGCTTCGGCCGCCAGCCCTCCCGCCCTGTCCGGAGGCCGTGCACCCGCCGTCTGCAGCGCGTCCCCCGCCGCGCCAGTACCGCGCGGCGTGTCTGCAAGTCCACGGCGCCCAGAAGACGGGCTGCGGGCGCCCCGAGGGCGGCTCCCGGTGCAGCGGCAGCGCCGCCGCCCGTGGCACTCGGCGCTCAAGCCCTTCGCGTGCGCCGCCTGCGGCCGGGCCCTCCAGCGCTCCCGCCACCTCGAGCGCCCGGGCGCACGAGCCCCGCGCCTGCCGGCTCTGCCTGCGCCGGCTGCGCTCGGTTCCAGGCCTGGCCTGCGCCTCCCTGCCTCTCCGGGTCAACGCCCTGCACTAGGGCGCTGCCGCCGGGCCTCAGTTTCCCGCTCTGCGCCGTGGGGGCGTTCGTCTCTCCGCGCTTGGTGCCGGTGCCATCGAGACGGGGCCGTTGCTGCTCCTTGGGCCTCAACTTCCCCATCCGCCCCATGGGAAATGCACCCTCCTCCGCCTCCGTATCTGGGAACATCTGGCCTTCTCTGGGCCTCAGTTTCCCCATCCGTCCGGTGGGAAATGCACCCTCCTCCCCCTCCGTGTCTGACAACGTCTGGCCTTTTCTGGGCCTCAGTTTCCCCATTTGCTGAGCGAGAGATCATGGCTGTGCCACATCGGAGCCCATGGCTGGTGTCTGGACCCCGGTCTCCCCGTTTGCCCCACCGACAGAGCCGTCCCCCGCCCTCGGCCTTGCAGGGCAGAGGGTTGCAGGCGGCACAGCCCGGGGGGAACAGGACAAACCCGGTTGCGCCCACGCCCTGTGGACTTCGGGCAAAGACCTAACCTCGCCTAGCCTCCGTTTATCACCAATCGATCTCTGTCGCAGCGACCGAACGTCCCGTCGGGGGCGGGAGCGGAGGGCGCGGCAGGGGCGGGCTGCTTGGTTGTTCCCGCGCCCGCGCCCCCCTACTCCCTCTCCGCGGGGTGCTCACAGAGGCGGGCGGCGGGAGCGGCGGAACTTGGGCTGAGGCGCGCGCGTTTCCGATCGGCGCCTTTTCCCAGGGACGCC